CAGCAGAGAGCCAGGATTGGAGCAGAGCCGATGTGAAACGATCTAAATCACGATCCGTTACGTCCCACAGGTTACCAAGCACTAACGGGCTGGGGAAGAGACAGAAATAAGTTCAATGATAAAGCAGTGCATTCTACACACAATGTTTCTGTACAGTACATGGATGGGTACTTTACCATCCTGCGGTCAAGTAGCTGAGGATGATTCCTGTACCCTCCTGGTGGCCAAGTACACTGAGAGCAGCACTACTGCAGCCAAACAGAAGAGCTACTGCCCGCACAGGCCCTTTCAAAACCCTCTGAGCATCCAGAAAGCGGGCTCCTGCGCCATGTCCTATGTAACTACATAGAGGTACAAAGACATATTGTCAGACTCAAATCACTTTATATTTCATCTCTGCTTTATTAAATAATGGAAACTCTTTGCAGTTTCACTCACATGTAGAGGTCTTTGGTGGTCACAGCCTCTTGTAGTTTGTCTGGGTCTGGAGCAGTTCCACAAACCCCCTGCCACGCTCGCTCACTGGCCAATCACAGACAGAGACGACAAATTGGAACCAGGACCAGTTACATAACTGTGGTCTTCAGTGTGTTAGAGCACATTTTGTGAACTTACCTAGTAAACCATTCTTTAAAGCGATTCTCAGTGTCGGGCAGATTTCTATCTGGGTTTAGCACATAGTAAACTTTCTTAGGGTTCACGCCACACGACAAAACACAACTTGAATCCATCTGAGGAAAGAAACAATTCACATTCAAGAAATGGTTCACCCTGAATATAATAAAAGTTCTAAATAAAATAAGGGTGAGTAAATTCTAACAGAATATAATGCATTTGTAGTTCATTTTGGCTTTTGGGTTACTGCTCTGTGACCAACAAAAGTTTATGATTCCTACAGGTTTTCTTTATCATACTAACAACTTTTATGAATTTAAGCCTAAATACAACTACCAGAAGTAAAAAGCTAAAGTTAGGCTACAAATAATCTACAGTCGCACGAGTTCATCACCAACACAAAGCATCTTTCAGTCTTAAGATCTACAAGTTGGAAAGTTAGAATAGTCTGCAAGAGTGCGAGTTTCCAACACATGTAAAAGCTTTTAAAAAATCCTGAGTGGGGTATTGCTGATTTATTTTATGTTGTAAAATAAAATGTAAAAAATATTGAGCTTGTGTTAACCACAGACCTTATTTCAGGCACTGAACCAAAAACCCCAAGCATAAAAAAGTCAGAACAATGAAACCTTTGACTCGCTGCTATAGCACTACAGTATATAGAAATAGATTTTAAATTAACTTATGCCATAGC